CCCCAAAACCCCAAAACCCCTAGAGATAGAATATAGATATTTTTTAAAAGATTAATTAATTTCGAAATATTCTTTAATATATCATAGCTAGATTCGTAAGTGTTTGATAATTTTGTTGTTGATACTTTCTTTATATTAATAATCAGGAAAGTAATATGAATTACTATCAATTCCTATCATCTTGATAATCTTCACCTCCTCCCGATAAAAGAGATATTAAATTATTTATGGAGCAATTCTTATTCCTCTATAATAGAGATTCTTGATTTTCTTGTACAATAATATCTATCATTAAGGTCTATTCCCCTCCTATTTCAAGTATATTATAGTTTTGATTTTCAAAATCCATCTAAAGCTCGTCTTCTTCCTCTGTTAATATATGATCCTACAATTCATAGTTTTCATAATCAAATTCATCTAATTCAATATCATCTATGCTTTTACTTCTCACTAACTGCTTTTAATCGATAAAATTAGCAGTTTCATCAAGCAAATTTTGATCTAAACTTTCTTTCTCCTGAGTTTATTTGTTTTGAATGAGAGCATAAGCATTATTATTTTCCAAACAGCCTATACATTCTGATAGAGATCTATCTTTCATCATCTAAAATGAATCTTCATAGAGATCATCCTCTCTTCTCTATTACTGCATAAATTTTTCAAATTTCTTATCCTCATTGTCTTAAGGATTTTTAACATCAGAAGCAAAATTATGTTTAGTACAGACTATTTTAAAAATTGATAAAATTTAATGAAAATTGTTCTTACCAATATGCTAGCTTTCATAGCTTTCAGACAAATCAAGATCTATATCTGAGAACGTAGCATTCATTGCTTTAATTATCTTCATGACTTTATCTTTAAAAGAAATTTCAGTGCTATTAAAGTTAGCGATATTTAATTTACTAATGTTTTTAAGGACTAGACGAAATTTAGAAGGTTAAATCATCAATTTTATATCCTTAAGGATCCTAATGTGCATTATTTTCTTTAATTCAATCAAACTTCTCTTAAGTTTAAAATTAAGTTTTGGAATTTGAGTAGTTTAGATTTTATGAAGAAGAATGACTTGCTATCTTTGACCTAATCTTAAAGTCTCTTAACTCTTTGCTTTAATCAACTATTTTAAATTAGGATGCGCTTCGGTTATAGGCTTTATATTCCTTTTCTATTAAATTTTTGTGGTTCTGACATTAATGCTTCTTAATTTGTTATCCGTGAGTTTTTTCATGATGCTCATAACAGATCTATCCAAATGATTTAATTTTCTTTATTGAGTTAGTCCCTTTTGAAATACTCATAATTCTTTATTTATTTTAGTAACTAGCAAATAATGCAAGCTTTGATGGCTTTATTACTTGATCACTCCCCTATAGTGGATAAACTGATTTTGGATCATTGCCCTTTTGAGATTATTTGTACTTGTATTTGCCTTTATCTTTAAATATTATATCTTACTTTAGCTGAGATGCTTGCTTATTGGCTTACTTATATGGCTGTTATAATGTACTCCATCAAGATAAGTGAATGTGAGTTCTTATTGTTGATCGCAGAAAAAATTGCCCATTTATTAGTCAAGTTACTTTTAAAAATTATACTAATTAGTTTATTTCCTTTGTTATAATAATGACTTAAAATAATTTCACTGACTACTTCCTGATTTAAGAATATTTTTCTACTTGGGGTTTTGGGGTTTTGGGGAGATCGGAA